ATAACTTCTAAATAAAAATAACTACTAAAATACTGAAAAATAAACTAATTAATTTCGAGCATACCGCATCCGATCAAATGATCAATATTGAAATTTGGGTCAGCAAAAAAAAAAAAGAAAAAAAAAAGACGTCCTATTGCGTCACATTAATTGGATCATCGTAATCAGTAAAATTTATTTCCAAGCTTTCTTTTCCCTTGATTAATTTTTGGTAGATATCCACAGGATGTTTTGTCATACGACAGTTATGTGCCCAATGCCCTTTCATTTCACATCTAAAGCAACTTTCTTCGTTTTTTTTTTGGACATGCTACTTTCATTTGCTTTGTGCCTTTTGAAATTATTGAGTTGCTGATAGTTTTGTTAATTATTTCATCCATAATTTCTCCCAAGTCCACATCCACGACTAAATTCGTGTTCACATCCTTGTCATGATATTGCATTTGTTTCAGGCAATGGTACAGAACCATTGGACTAACCCTTGATTTTTCATTAATATTTCATTATTTTGTTCAGCTACAAGTGGGAAAAATATGAATTTTGACTGCTTCTAGAAACCACACTCACGATATTACTGCTGCAAGAGCACATTGAAGGAATGAAAGGTGAAAAACATTTTCTCCAACATATCTTCATCTGTAATTTTTTCTCCACGTAAGGTCAATTTTGAACATATTTTAAATTATTCGGGATTGTACTCATTAATAATTTTGAAGTCTCGTAAGAGAAGATGCATACATTCATATAGGGCTTTGGAGAGGATTACAGTCTTCTGATGATCAATTCATTTAGTCAAAATTTTTTCAAAGAATCTATGGATTCTTCACCGTGATATACGATTTTCAATCCATCATGAAGACGGTGACGAATGAAGATGAGTGCATTTGCACGGTCTTACAAGGATTCTTTATTTTTTTCTTTTATTGTCTCTTCCAGACCCATTGAGACAAGATGAACCTTAGTATCGAGGACCCATGACCCATGATAGATAATTTTTGTCAAATATGTCGAGTACAATAAAATCAAATTTTGTGATGTTTGCAATTTAACTCAAAATAAAATAAAATACTATTAATTTCGAAGAATATGATAAAATATTGTATAATCATATAATAACTAATCAAGTAATCAATGCTGATATGACATGAGTTATATATTTTTCTGGGATAAACATTAATTCAAAATGATATATTCTTTGAAATTTGTGCAACTTCAAAAGTACGTTGTATTTTATTATTGCATATTCAAGAATAATATGTCAATATTTTTCTGAATTATTAAAAATTACAATTTATACTCTTCAGAAGCAAGTAGTATTTTTCTAAAATATTACTTGTGATGTTATACTACTTCAAGAGTAACAACAAACTATTATTTAAAAATATTAACTCTGTATGAGTATATTTTCTAGTAGAATGTAATATTTGTAGAGTTGTACTTCTTCAATAGTAACAACATGAATAATTTTTGGACAATTTTATCTTTATTGTAATCCAATTATTTCAATAATTTCTTACTTTCATTTTTCAATATGTACTTAATTTATTTAACTATTTAGGTATCATCAATGTATATGTACAGTTGACAGATTCATTTCACCTTTCATGAATGTATGACTTCTCTATTATTAATTCTCAATTAATTAGCATTCTTATTCATTTAATTGATATGCATCTTCATTTATGAATTTTAGTGTTATTAATTCTAATTATAAGTTAATTGAAATTTCATATTCAAGAATGCATTTCATTATTCACGTCCATGTATGCTATTTAACATCCAATTTTACTTTACTGAAAATTAAATAAATGATTTAACATTCATTTTCACATATATATTCCATAATATTAATTCTAAATTAATTAACATTCACGCATATTCAAATATTACTTTTACAACACTTATAAAACATTTCATAATAACGTGCAACACATGTTTAACGTTAACTAGTCAATTTAAACTTTATAATAGAATATCTAAAAATATTTAATCGAGTTAAAGATATAGAGAATATTTAATAATCATCATAACTGTATTTATTTTGCAAACATAAAAATAAATCAAAGAACACAAGCATAAATCATATAATTACCACTTTCAAAATTATATAATTATAATATATGCATACATAATTATAAGTATGGCAAAGTGATTATAGAATACATATCTGCATACATAATTGTCAACTTCATGGGTCAATTTGGGCGTGGCATACATAAGTATATAATATATCCATACATATCTGTCAACTTCATGGGTTAATTTGAGAACCGAGCATGATTGTGGCAGGCGTAGCATACATAGTAGGAATTAAATAATGAAACAAATAATGATTGCGACAAACATAACATACATAGCAGGAATTGATATACACACAAAATTGATGCATAGTTACGTACAACATACATAGCATAGCATAGCATAGCGTAGCGTACATAGTTCACAAATTGATACACACAAAAGCAGAGAAGACAGTAATTGATACATGCAAACTCAAACGTGTACACGCAAATTGATTTCGGCTATAATGCATATGTATATATAAAAAAAATTCACATGTCACCAAATTGATTTTGATATGCTCGACAAATGATTATACTTATAAAAAATATTATTTTTTAACTAATTCACTTTGATTTTGAGATAATCATATTGATAATGTGTTTAGAGAGAGAAAGAGTAAAAAGTTGTGGAATCAATAGACTTGTTTGTATTTTATCGAGAACTAGAACCGCATATTTATAAAGAAGAATTAGGGCTACAATTGTAATAACTAGGGTTGTAGGGGTATAGTTGTCATTCACTAATAATTACATTATTTATAACGGATGGCACATTGTAATAGTTGATGTGATGTACGATAGAGGATAAAGATACACTACAATAAAAAACAACATTTTACAACGTTTTAAAAATATTGTAGACGACCTTTTGCAACGTTCGAATGTATGTTGCCATTGAATAGAACCATACGACAAAACGCTGCTAATAATCTTTTTGCAACGTTTTTTGAAAGTTAATAACGTTTTTGCAGTATTTTTTTAATGTTGTTAATAAATTTTTTACAACGTTTTTTGAACATTGCTAATAACATTTTTGCAATTTTTTGAATGTTGCTAACAACCATTTTACAACATTTTTTAACCGTTGCCATATGTCATTTTACATTTTTTTTTTAATTTTGCATTTTTTTATTTGTATAACGATTTACACAAATCAACCACAAAAGTCAAAAATTATTTTGGGCTTGCATGAAATTGATATAATTTCATTAGTTTATACAAAATAAATATAGAACACATCGTTGCAATAAATTGAAAAAAATTACTTTACTGAAAATTAAATAAATAATTTAACATTCATTATCACATATATATTCCATAATATTAATTCTAAATTAATTAACATTCACGCATATTCAAATATTACTTTTACAACACTTATAAAACATTTCATAATAACGTGCAACGCATGTTTAATGTTAACTAGTCAATTTAAACTTTATAATAGAATATCTAAAAATATTTAATCGAGTTAAAGATATAGAGAATATTTAATAATCAGCATAAATGTATATATTTTGCAAACATAAAAATAAATCAAAGAACACAAGCATAAATCATATAATTACCACTTTCAAAATTATATAATTATAATATATGCATACATAATTATAAGTACGGCAAAGTGATTATAGAATACATATCTGCATACATAATTGTCAACTTCATGGGTCAATTTGAGCGTGGCATACATAATTATATAATATATCCATATATATCTGTCAACTTCATGGGTTAATTTGAGAACCGAGCATGATTGTGGCAGGCATAGCATACATAGTAGGAATTAAATAATGAAACAAATAATGATTGCGACAAACATAACATACATAGCAGGAATTGATATACACACAAAATTGATGCATAGTTACGTACAACATACATAGCATAGCATAGCATAGCGTAGCGTACATAGTTCACAAATTGATACACACAAAAGCAGAGCAGACAGTAATTGATACATGCAAACTCAAACGTGTACACGCAAATTGATTTCGGCTATAATGCATATGTATATATAAAAAAAATTCACATGTCACCAAATTGATTTTGATATGCTTGACAAATGATTATATTTGTAAAAAATATTATTTTTTAACTAATTCACTTTGATTTTGAGATAATCATATTGATAATGTGTTTAGAGAGAGAAAGGGTAAAAAGTTGTGGAATCAATAGACTTGTGTGTATTTTATCAAGAACTAGAACCTCATATTTATAAAGAAGAATTAGGGATACAATTGTAATAATTAGGGTTGTAGGGGTATAGTTGTCATTCACTAATAATTACATTATTTATAACGGATGGCACATTGTAATAGTTGATGTGATGTACGATAGAGGATAAAGATACACTACAATAAAAACAACATTTTACAACGTTTAAAAAATATTGTCGACGACCTTTTGCAACGTTCGAATGTATGTTGCAAACCTCGATGTTGCCATTGAATAGAACCATACGACAAAACGCTGCTAAGAATCTTTTTGCAACGTTTTTTGAAAGTTAATAACGTTTTTGCAGTATTTTTTTAATGTTGTTAATAAATTTTTTACAACGTTTTTTGAATATTGCTAATAAAATTTTTGCAATTTTTTGAATGTTGCTAACAACCATTTTACAACATTTTTTAACCGTTGCCACATGTCATTTTACATTTTTTTTTTTTAATTTTGCATTTTTTTTATTTGTATAACGATTTACACAAATCAACCACAAAAGTCAAAAATTATTTTGGGCTTGCATGAAATTGATATAATTTCATTAGTTTATACAAAATAAATATAGAACACATCGTTGCAATAAATTGAAAAAATTTCTTGATTTGCATATTGCCTATTAAACAAAAAAATAAGCATAAAATACAAAATAATGGTACAATATCAAACCATATAAAGAGTATTGGTGGACGTGGGGATTTTCACGGGCTTTCTTGAATGGTTGCGGCCACAGAGGACATGGCACTCGCAGTACTTATGCCCGGCAACTACAGTCATGAGCACCGCCATTTCTTGTAGTCAGTCCTCAAGCATATGCCTGGCTTCGAATCCATGGCCCATTTTCCCCAATATTCAAATTGTAGCACTGATCCACCATAGATATACATAGTCCACCATTAATAATACCATACTCCTAATATATATCATTTAGTTATTAAACATAATTGTTTCTTTCACCTCTCACTTTTTCTCTCTTCTAGGTTCTCTTTGAGGTTCCAAAATCATGATTTTTTTTTTTCAAAAATTAGGTGGTCACATTTGTGACCTCTTATAAATTTGTGACCTATAATTTAATTAAGTTTATGATCATCATCACACGCTAGTCACAAATCACATAGCGTAATAGTCACAAGACAAAATTTATAGGTTGTAATTACAAACTTAGTCACAAATTACACCTTTTTAGGCCACAAATTACAAAATTAACTGTACACGATCACTCTTCATCTCACTTCACCCCATCCCCACTCTACCACCGCCTACACCGTTCAAATTGTCGTCACCACATGAAGTTCACAGCCCATCACCACCTTCACCTCAAATCAATAACCACCATTATGACCACTTTCACCTTGAAAAACAAATCAAAAACCACCAAAAAGAGTAACAAGTTAAATGATAAAAAAATGTATCGATAATTATTTGTATTTATGAGCAAAGACATCAAATTTGGTGTTAAGGAAGCAGCTCAATGATCTCATTGGCAGCTCCAAGAATAGTTGTAGAGCTCCTTCCGATAAGAGAGCTCAATATAGGGATGAAAAAAAAGTTCGCCGGCTTGGGCGGTTCGGGTTTGGCCCCGAAAAAGCATGAGCCAGCCTGGCCTGTATGAGCCGAGTTCGTTAATAATAAAAAAAATCGAAACAGGAAAAAAAATAAAATGATATAGCTACATGCAAATTCCACCCCCATCCCTACAGGCCTTTTTGTATAAATAAGTAAATAAAAATATGGTCTTGATTGGGGTGTTAATTGATGAACATGATTGTGCATGTATATTTTAATAATTTGTAGTATAGCTGCAGTAGTTTTATTTATATAATGGATGAAGGGGTGGGGGTGTCTTTTTGCTGCCTTTCGTTGATGGATGGAAAAGAAAGGAGGGTTTCAACATCACATGGAGGGGACTCACAATGAAATAAACAATACTAATATAATCTACTGTTGATTAATTGGCAGGCAACTAAAATTAAATGCCTGCATTTGCATAGCAGCTATTTGTACATGTAGCTATTTTAGTATTTTTAGCTGTCTGTGTAGGCAGCTATTTTAGCATTTTTAGTTGCCGCTTTGAAGAAAAGAATCGAGCTGGCTCAGCCCGCTAAAGGTCGAGCCGAGCCCAAGCTTCGAGTTTTGGCTCATGACTCGACTCGACTCGTTGACATGGCTAGCTCAATATGACTACATTCATTTTGTTTGTATTTGTTGAGAGAGAGTTTTGTAAAGTGATATTTGCAATGATGTGAGGTGTGTAGAGCGAGAGGTAGGGGGGATAACCATGAACCATGGTGTATTTATTCTCTTTTAAAAGAGAGACTTCGAGGATTACTATTCATTTGTGATTTTACCTCACGTATCATTGTTCCAGATATGGACAAAAAAACACTAGTCGTAATTATTGACTTAAATTTAGTGACAAAGTAACTGTAAGACAAGAGGAATGATAACTTTTATGCTGCACACAAGTCGCCATGAGAATTTTGATGTTCACAACCTTCCAACTAGCCGTAATTCTTGACTCAAACTGATGGTATTTTACCAGTTCTCACAGTACCTTTAATAAACTATATAAATGCAGTACTCTCCATACGCCACGGAGAGGTTCTCCGTGGCGCACGGAGACACCATCTCCGTACGCCAAAGAAAGGTTTTCTCTCACTCCACAACCATCTCCCTTCCTCCACCTCCGTACATCGTCCTTTCTCAACTGCCAAAACCCACCTCTTTTCACTCTCAATAACCATAAACCCGACACACCACCGTGCCCTATTTTTACCATTTTCCACCAATTTCTCAGTCACTAACACTGACATTATCACCGACATCTCTAGCGGCGGAGAAAATGGAGGAATTGGAGAAGGCAGCAACAACGGCGACAGCGGAGGTGGAGATGAGAATGGAAATAATTGGAATGATGATAGTAACAAGAAGAAGAATAGAGATGAAGCTCTAATGGCGTTGGCTCCTTCTCTTCTTCCGGTGGCGCCGTTACACGAGGGAGAAAGTGGAGAGAATGAGAGGAGAGAGAGAAGGGATGGGGGGAGAGTAGAGGAGGTGAGAGAGAGAGAGAGAGGGGGAGGGGGGGTAGGGAGGGAGTAGAGAGTGAAAAATTAGGGTTAGGGGTTTTATATATTACCTGATTTTTGAATAATGTTCAACCTCCCAATTAGCTGTTCATTAACATGTTTGATATTGTTTAATAAATATCTCTTCATATACCTTTTGTATTGGAGATGCCAGCCAACAAGAGAGGAACCGCCTTCACTTTTCCTTTACCTTTCTCTTTTCGTTTCTTTCATTACTAATGGAAATTGATAGCCTAATTATCACTACACTAAAAATTGTTGAATTTGAATCTTTCTTGTAAAAAAAAATTCTGAAAGCTGCAATTATTTACTCAACACAGTAAAAGTGAAAACAAGAAACATGAAAATTTTTATGCTACACACAATTTGCCATGAGAATTTTGATTTTCACAACTTCCAATGCTTGATTGTATTTTGCCAGTTTTAAAACTACCCATGCAAATGCACTAAATGCAATTGCAATGACACAATTTGTTCTCTTATTTTGATATCAACAACGAATAAGACTATTCAGCTTTCATAGACTTTGAGCTCCCAAATTGCTTGAATCTTAAGTTCCAAACCACTACCTGGAACTCTTTCTTCCCTCTAAAGTTGCAGCGATTTACACGATCTCTATCACAAGGCAAGTTTTCACTTATCCCTCTTTCCATAAAAAATGTTGACAGGGGTGTCTTCAAAAATGAATTGGTTTTCAACATTCGGGTTTCAACTTTGGGTTTGTGCTATTCATGCTTTCTTTCTTTCTTATGTGAAAATTGACATATATTTCAGTTGTTGTGAAAAGTCTTGTGAATACATATTTTCCCATCTTTTACTCCTTCCACAAAAAATGTTTTTAATTTTTTAGATTTGTAAACGTTGTCTTGAATAATTCATTAATTAATTCAAAATTGGTTTTAATTGAAAATGGGTTGAAAAAGAAAAAAGTGATGTGATAAAAACAACATTCTTGCGTGCTGTCTCCATGCAACACGGAGACCTCCCTCCGTGTCTCCACGTGCACGGAAACACCCGTGTCTTCGTGTCTCCTCCGTGTAGTACGGAGGAAAAACTCTGTGCAGCATGAAGACTCTTCTCCGTTTTCAACACTACTTCAATCATTGCTGGAGGCCGTGTCCAAAAAAAGAGAGTCTAAATTATATGTTTTTTTTATCTTCAGAATGAGTGACATAATAATTTTACCTTTGGTTTTTTCTCCTCCTTTTTTTCTTCCTTAGGCGGAATTGGAGAAATCAAGTCCGCATGCTTCCTACTTTTCTTCCTTAACCTCTCTGCGACTCTACTAGGATTAGCTTTTTTCCCCTTTACAATAACCTTGTGATTTTTCGCATCAATTTCAATCTTCTCGACTCCTAAAAATCACATCAAAAATCAATTAGCATTCACATTATACAAAAATTCACCTAAAATCAAAAACCCATATCAGAATAAGAATGTTGGAACCTTCAAACCCGTGGAGGCATCGAAGCACTTCATCTTGACATCCTTCACAATGAATATAAACACCAAATACAATTACTCCATTTGGGTTTTTTTATTCTCTTCATTTTTGTTGTTTTCACCATTGTTGTGTGAATTGCATCCTCCACTTTGTTGCCGCTCCCTACTTGTACACATGTTTCTTCTCTGTTACAAGCATACTAACGTAATCAAAACACAAAATTAATAAGAGATTAAAAAGAAAATGGAATTTTCCCTGCCCATTGCCACTACAAAATGTGTGAAATTCAATCTGGAGAAGGTTAGATATATATAGTAGTAGTGATCAACGTAAAGAATATGTGTAATTTGAGATTTTGATCAATCATGTGAACTTCCCAAAAGTTGTGGCGGGTTCATATTGTGTTTGGTGGGATGATATCTATAATTCAGTAAAAATGCAAATTTGGATGTAAAATTAATAATTATAACTTTTATAGGGTTTCTTAAAAAAGTGGATTTTATTAAAATAGAGTTACGTTTAGAGATTTTTAACACGGAGACACACTCCTTGTCTCCATGGCCGTGTCTCCTTGGAGACACAGAGAGCGTGTCTCCGTGGAGTGACAGTGCCATTGGAATGATTTGCAATGTTTTTCCAGAAACATTATCGAAACTACTCTTGCTCTTTGCCCCAACATTACAACAAGTAATCTTCGAACTCTGTTCTGATACCGTCACAGTTACTCAATTCCGCACATTTAACATGTCAGTATTAATTTTATCTATGTCATTTCGGATCTGTAGGTGGCATTCAATTTGCCACTGCTCAACTGCCTCGTCTGGAACTCATGGACTGTGGAATGACCATATGTGATCCCGATTCAGAGATCTATAATGAAGAGGATAATAATAGTGACTTGCAGAGAACTCCCAACAGCAAGTTGCACCTTATATACCAGAAGCTAATTATCAAACACAGCCGGTTGAAGAAGCTAAGCTTATGGGGTTGTTCTGGCTTGGATGTAAGCCTCTCTTGTTTTAAGGATATTTTGTTTTTTTAGCCTCCTGCTCAAATACTATTTTGTTCTCTGAATGTGAGCGTTAATGCAAATGTAGAAGCACATTCTGATATATTAGTTCAAATGAGGAGACCAGGTATTGAAATATCCGGGAAGTGTATATGAATTTTTCTAGAAGAGTGTTTAAAGTTCAGCTTACATGAACTGAATATTTGGAAAAAATGATGAAGGTGTTGATCCCATCTATTGCAGAGTCATACACTTCATTAGATAAAAGAATTTTAAAAGAGAAAATACTATTCGTGGCTTAGTAAATCCCTTGAGTATATATTTTGATGTATATAAAAATTGTCAATTTGATTATCATTTAAAAGTGATAAAATCTTTGCGCTTGTTATTTTTCTAGATATTTCGATGTTGTGCATTTACCCTCATTAGAGGTTCCACCAGAGGTATACATTGGAATTCTATTTTTCTTATAAAATGTTGTAGACAAAAAATATAATTAAATGATTCAACACATTTAAAGCTAACACTGCCTATAAAATAACCAATTCCCTGCATTTGCATGGGCAAAAACTAGTATATATATAAATGTGGGATGGTTATAGTTGTAGTGGGGTATATGCAAATTTTTACACTAAAAAATAATTAAAATTGATTGTTGTAAAAAAATAATTAAGACCTAATATTTGAAATTGAAACTTTAAAGGTAGATTTGAGGTAATTTCCCTTTCGAGAAGCCAACTTAGAGCCTAAGCTTATACCAATCAATAGAGATCCTAACCAACTGTATTCTGAAATTGGAATCTTGTCTAATTCACTAATTCGTGAGAAGATAGTTAATTTTTATGAGCATGTTTGTTGCAGATTATTCTTGGGAAAAAATGGATTTTTTGACCGTTACAGTTTTGACCCTTTCTCTCAGGCGCGGGACCCACATTTCTCTCCAACGACCATAATGTTGATTTTAATCTAGCAAAATAGAGATACCAAACATGGCCTATATTTGAAACTGATCATTGTAGATTGACTTCTAAAAATATAGTACGAAAAAGCTCGACACTGGTCGCTCCTATCCATGGTCAGTCATTTCCTCATCTCTCACAGCATTTTCGTCAGGTAATGCCGTTGAATCAAAATAAAATTGCTCATGTTTTAATTCATTTTTAATAATATGTTTAATTTTAGTTTGGATTCAGTGTTATTTGTTGTACAGTAGTTGTTGACCCCAAAAAATGAACCAACAGAATCCCTACCATGTCCCCTCCATGTGGACATCACCTATACATTGAACACCCTGTTAGGAGGCAAAGGCCGCCGATCGAGAAAAATGACCAGTGATCTTTCGTACTCCGACGGTCTAATCAACGGCCGGACGAGAGAAAAAGAGAGTGTAAAAGAAGGAAGGAGAATTTGGATAGGGTTAGAGAACGTACCTTAATTATTAAATGAATCACATACATATAGAAAATGTAAATGGGCATGTGGGCATAATGGGCCGGACCCAAGCTTAGGCCCAAAAATATCTGATTTGATTAAATAGATCCATTACCGCGTAATACATGGGTGTAGCAATAGTCCCCCCAAGTTTGAGTCATAAATTCATGTGCGGGTCGGACTTTGAAGTATAAATAGTCAAGTCGGCCAATGTAGGATCCTGTTCGTCGAGAGTATGCTGCGTAATTTATAGGTGTAACAATAGACCCCCAAGTCTGAGTCATACATTCATGTGCGGGTCGGACTTCGAAATACAAGCTCTCAGTAGGTAAGGTCTTATAGATTGCCTCAAAAATATAAGTAGCTCCGATAAGCAAGGACTTACGAATTGCCTCGAGAATATAAACAGCTCCAATAAATGAGGACTTACGAACTGCCTCAGAAAATGTGTGTGAACCTGAATATGCGATGACTTACAAATTGCCTCGAAAGGTAGATATTACATATAATTTGTCGAAATTTCGGCAGCATCTCCGCTATAATATGGACTAAACCAATCCTACAATACAATACATTGTATCCACTGCACATATACCAATTAAATTTGGGGTCCATTTGCCCCTTCAATTACTCAAGATGATAAAGTGAAATAGTGATTTTTAAATTTTTCCCAAGATATAATATGAAAAAAGTCTATCATGTATCATAACAGGTCATATGCTTACACAACTTAGTGTAATAGTAGTGCTATAGTGAAACAAGTAACATATTGATAACGTAGATAACGTGGCATATATATTTGCTATAGTGAAAATAGTGCCATGACCTACTAGCAATGATGTGAAGTACATACTCGGTAACAATAATATAATGCGTATGCTAGCAGTAATAATGTAATGATACTACGTTACCGGTATCACAATAGTCCTTCAAGTCTGAGTAATGCGTATGCTAGCAGTAATAATGTAATGATACTAAGTTACCGGTATCACAATAGTCCTTCAAGTCTGAGTCGAATATTTATATGCGGGTCAGAGTTGAGATATAACTCACTGAATATATAAGTAACTGTGATGAAGTTGATGTAGAGGCAAGACTCTGAATATAAGTAGCAGAGGCAATACTTTGAAGATAAAAAGGAGAGGCGATGCTTTGAAGATAAGAAGGAGAGGTGATGCTCTGAACGTATAAGCAGCTGTGATAAGCTGATGTAGAGGTGATGTTATTGCTGAAGAGGGCGAGCCATATTGCTGCAACTGAAGCCCGTGATATTGCTGTAATTAAAGCCCGTGATGAGGCTGAATAAAGTGAAGCGAGGCCCTTGCTGAAGAGGGTGAGCCATATTGAAGCAACTGAAGCTTATGGTAAGGCTGAATAAAGCGAGGTGAGGCCTTTCTTGAAGAGGGCAAGCCATATTGAAGGAATTAAAGCCTGTGATGAGACTGAATAAAACGAGGAGAGGCCCTTGTTGAATAAAGTGAGACAATGTCCTTATGTAAGCAGCAGAGACGATGCTATGAATGTTAGTAACAAAGGTGATGCTCTAATATAAGTAGTAGAGGCGATGCCCTAATGTAAGAAACTGTGATAAGCTGATGTTGAAGCGAGGCTCTCAATGTGTAAATGCTCTGAATATATGAATAGCAGAGACGATGCTCACTTATGGGCTCGCAATAATAAATCTGAATGTAGCATTTGGGCTCACCATATAAAATCTAAATATAACATTAGAGCTTGTCATACTTAACGTAACTTACGAGCTTGTCATAGTTAATAAATTGATGAAGATATGGGCTCACCATATTTTAACCATTGAAGGAGTGTATGAGCTTGTCATACTTAATCGTAACATATGAGCTTGTCATAGTTAATAAGTTAATGGAGATATGTGCTCGCCATATTTTATAAGAAATTTATGAGCTATACTCTCCTTAGATAATAAGAAAACCACGAGTTAGGGCTCGCCTTCTAAGATGTGAGAAACTCGAGACATCCAAAAACAAGTAGGAACAACCAATATATGCCGGATCTTTCTTTTTCATTGAACAATGACTCCAAGCAGGGATAAACATCTGGCATGGTGGGGAATAAACATCCCTCGAATAGATCTCGAACTATCGAGATCTTATAAACTGGCCTCGTAATGACGATGTCTTACAGCTAGGCTCGACGATAGTGAGAGGAAAAGAATAAGCATCTCGCAAAGCCAGGGATAAGCATCTGGTGTGGTAGGGAGTAAACATCTCGAGTATAGATCTCAAACTATTGGAGTCTTATAAACTAGCCTAGGAATGACGAGGTCTTACAGTTAGGCTTGACGATAGTGATAGGCGAGAAATAAGAATCTTGCGAAGTCATGGATAAGCATCTGGCGAGACGGGGAATAAACATCCCGCGTATAGATCTCGAACTATCGAAGTCTTATAAATTGGCCTCGAAATGAGGAGGTCTTACAGCTAGGCTCGACTATAATGAAAGGCAAAGAATAAGCATCCCGCAAAGCCAGGGTTAAGCATTTGGCTAGGCGGGGAACAAACATGCCGCGTATAGATCTCGAACTATTGGAGTCTTATAAACTGGTCTCAAAATGACGAGGTCTTACAGCTAGGCTCGACGATAGTGAGAGGCGAGGAATAAGTATCTTACGAACTAGGGATAAGCATCTGGCAATGCGGGGAATAGACATCCCCGTGTATAGATCTCGAACTATCCGAGTCTTATAAACTGGCCTCGAAATGACGAGGCTTATAGCTAGGCTCGAAGATAGTGAAAGGCGAGGAATAAGCATCTCGCGAAGCCAGGGATAGGCATCTGGCGAGGCGGAGAATAAAAATCCCGCGTATAGATCTCGAACTATCGGAGCCTTATAAACTGGCCTCGAAATGACGAGGTCTTACTTTGTTCAAGGAATGAGGACTTACAAAATTCTACCTCCTATAATAAGAAATCCACGAACTTGGGCTCGCCTTAAAAAATGCGATTAGGCATTTGGTTGAGCACTTTCCATGTATTAATTGTCATTTACAAGAATCTCATAGATGAAGATGCAGCGGAAATAAAACCCAACGCAAGTAACACCTTTATGATAAGTATAGAAGGGTGTCTATGGCTACTTTTAAGCTTGATGTATAGCTAAGCCTTGATAGAATATTGACATCTTCCCTTGAGAATTATTGAAGGAGCACAATATTGGAAAAGCAGAAGCCTATGATCAAATATGAAATTAGTTCAAAAATTATGTTAAATGATTAGTATACAATATTATACTTCCACAATCCTTCCTCAATTGTGTTTGAATCAGGGATTTATGCTACATTCGTCATTACCAAATTCAATAAAAAAGTATAGCAAAAGAAAGTTGATCCATTTGAACCATCGATGCAATACATGTCATGATACATCCTAGCCTATACTTCCAGAGCTCATCTATTGTCTACCCATGTAAAATTAGCCCTGGGCTTTCAATTCAATGCTCTTTTATTGCATAGCCGAAAGCTTTAGTTGCTACTTAAATGGTAATTTCAACAATTGGGACAAACATGTAATCTTTGCTTCAATGTGAATAATTTGCAATGTGGAACAAGGGGCAGCCCAAATGGAAT